TGACCAGGGCTTGTCACACTGGAGGAGGATGTGACCAGGGCTTATCACACTGGAGGGGGATGTGACCAGGGCTTATCACACTGGAGGAGGATGTGACCAGGGCTTATCACACTGGAGGAGGATGTGTCCAGCTCTCGCGGCACAGCTGGGTGCCAGCAAACCAGAAAGAGGCTTTGGATGAGTCCCCGCTACTCTGTGTCCTGGAGGGAGACGCACGGGAGAGCCAGGGGGCTTATGCAAAGTGCTTCCTCCTCGCCCGCAAGGGGCCCCATGGCGATGCAGGTGCAGAAGCTCCGCAGCTCCCTAGCGGACTTACCCGGGGAGGCGTCAAGGGCCATCGCCGACTCCCTCGCCGTGCCAGGAGTGGCTCCACAGTGGCCTCCCTTCTAGGCTCCTAAGAGCTGCACCAGCCGAGGCGGCACAGGGCAGGGACAGGCTGCTCCCGCCACGCCCCAACGTGCACGGTCACGAGCAAAATGAACGCTGCTTACTGTTTTCAACTACTGGGTTTGGCGGACGTTTGTTACAAACGAACCCGTAACCAGGATATCTAGCTCTCTTAATTCGTTTATGATGCATCCATCCCCCCTTGGTGCAAACATTCCCCTTACGTCTTCGGGCTTCCCCCCAACTTTTAATCGCCCTGCAACGAACATCAGACGACAAGCAGTGTGCAGGATCTGTGTGCTGCGTTTCGGGCTTTTATTCCACGCCATCGGCTTTTCTTCAGATGTCTCGTGGTTTGCGTTTTGAGGGACGTGATTTATAGAACAGACATAACGTCTGTGTGTTTCTAAGGTTCGGGTTTGTCACGCTGTTCACTCAATCTTTCCCATTCTATTTTTCGGATGCTTTTTACTGGTGACAGATGTTGACTTCTTTTCCCACACATTTAAAAAAAAAAAAAACACTTAGTTTGATTTTTAACAAAATCAAGAGGATGACTCATGACATTCTGTAAAATTTAAACTCTTTTGAGAAGCCTCTGAATTGTCATCATTTTATATCCGGTCTCTTGTATGTTTTAGGAAAATGAGTGAAAAGAGAAAAGGCTTGAAAACACTTTCTGGGCGCACGAGATAGGCCCGTTTTGCCGTTTATCCGGAATTTGTTTGAACAAGGAATACGCTACATGGCTTCCTCTCTTCACTGAGAAGACCGGTGTTTTGGTAAGTTTTTGGTACACTTGTCTTCATCATGAAGGTGATTTAAAAGGACAAGGCCGGCTGTGCTGTGCGGTTAGTCTAATTTCAACAGAATTTATGTGCTTCTTTCAGACCTGGCTCATCAGAACTGACCAGCGCTCGCTGTGGCATTAGATCATTTTCATGCCAATTTTTTTTTAAGCTCCATGAGAACTAACGGTGATAATTCCCACCGAAACCATGTGATTCTGATAAGTTTGGTATTTTGGACATGGAAATCTTACATTCAGGCTTCATTTTGACTAGGGGGTACGGTGGGGAAGGGCCCCGTGATCGAATATGAAATAAGGCACCCAGCGATGCCGGGGAGCGGCCACAGGACACCAGCAGTCGCCGAAGGCTTACGAAGCACGTGTGCCTCGGCACATCCTCCGCGGCACAAAAGCTAAGTCTCACCTGGGAGCATTTGTATCACCAGTGGGGGACACAGCCTGTCGGTGAAATCCTGCCAGTCGATAGTAACGGTAAAAGTAAAAGCACACGTGAAAGTTAGAATACCAGCCCACCGCCTCTCTGTAACCACTAGGGGGACATATGTCCCGCATCGATTTCTCCCCTTTGCTATAAAAACGTCTACACGGCAATGTAGTATCCAGGGCAACCAATCAATAATCCACGCAAAGAGATACACTCAAAAAATAAAGATAGGTCAACGTGGAATTCTAAAAACGTTCAAGTGAGCCGTAGGAAGGCAAGACAACAGAGAAGAAAAACAGAATAAACGGAAAACAAAAATAAATTGACAGACTTAAGCCCCAGATATCGGTGATCGCGTTAAATAGAAATGATCTAAATATACAAATTTAAAAAAACGATTGACAGAGTCGATTTTCAAAACATGACTCGTCTACGGCGCCCTGAACGCGCCCGATCCCGTCTGATCGCGGAAGCTAAGCGGGGTTGGGCCAGGTGAGTACTTGGATGGGAGACCATCTGGGAAGACCAGGTGCTGTAGGCGTAAAAAATAAGAAGAATAAGGGCTTGTAAGCGGACGAGGTCCTTGCAACCTGTGAGGTCAACCAAGGGTTGCCTCGCCTAAAAATTTTAAAAAGTAAAAAATAAACAATAAATAAATAAAAATAAAACATGACCCAACTCTCCAGCAGCTACAAAAAACTTCAAATCTAATGATATCGTTAGATCGAAAGGAGTAAAATAACATATTACGTACCAACGTTAATCCAAAGAGAACGGAAGTTGATCTATCATCACTGAAAACACACATTCAGACGGGGAATGTCAGGAACAGAGAGGGACATTGCATAACCATAAGCGGATCGAGCTATCGAGAACACGCGGCCATCCTAAGTACGTAGGTAGCAAACAAAAGAGTTTCAAAATGTGCTGAGAAAAAACATCGGATCGAAAGGAGAAACTAGCAGTTATTGCTGGGGACGGCAACACCCCTCTCTCAACAACGGATGGACTATCGCCACCCACCGCAAGGTCCGACGACATGGCGGGGCGCCCCACCCAGAACAGCGCAGCGCACATGCGTTAAAGGCACCTGTGGAACATTTACCAACATGACCCATCGCCTGAGCCGTTCAATAAACTCCAGCGAACGTAAAGAAATCGAAATCGCTCAGTCTGTGCCAGAGTCAGAGTGGGTTCAAACGAGGGATCAGTAACAGAAAATGACGGGAAAGTCCCCCAAAACTGCGCCCTGCCCTTCTAACTCGCCCATGGCTCGAAAAGGACGTGTCAGCAGAAATTTAAGAAGGACATCGAACCGAGCGAAGATGCGACACGTGCAGAGCTGTGGGGTGGAGGCTCCTGCTTCTGGGGAGATGCAACAGGTGCACGTTCCCCCCGCAGTCCCAGTGAGTGCAGCGAAAACGCCTGAGCGGCGTCACAGGTCAGGCTGACGTCACGGGGGCAGGAGAGGACGACAGGTCGGGCGGGGAGCTCGGGCCCAGGGGAATGACAGGCGGCGACTTCCTGGATTTTTCTTTTGGCCTCGTACACCCCGTGCCGCGTGCCAAAGGAGCCGGCCACCCGAAAATGCCAAGGGAAGACGCAGACAAGAAAGAAGACACCTAAAATCTGCTTTCTGTACCCAGAGGGCCAGGAAAGTGGCAGCCTAGCAAGACAGAAGGTGTGTAGCCAATCGCGGGACACGCCGGGACACGCCTGCAGCTCAAGCCAGCCCTCGACAGCGAAGGCCATCCGCTGGGCCCAGGCGTGCCTCTCGGAGCTGTGGCTGGACGACATAATTGCTCCCCGCATGGGAGGTGTCGCAGAGGCCAAGCGGGAGGTCGGGGCTTCGATCCCCAAGGAGGTTGGGCCCGCCCCCCAGAGGGCCAGTGGGGATGGCCAGGGGGGCATAACCGGGGACGCTGCCTCGCTCCGCGGGGCTGGCAGCGGGCACGGGGGGCCGGAGCTCCCGGTCTGCACAGCTGAAACGGGGAGCCCCTGCCCGCTGGGCCCAGCGGGAACCTGGGGATGACAAGGCAGAACCGCCCCTCCCCCACCCGTGGGATGGTGTCAGAGGAAGCCTGCCAAAACAAAAGACTTAGCGAAGATTCCAATTCGTAATACCTCAAATACTCACATTCCAGCAGAAAATCACTTGTTACGCCGACCACCTTATTTACAGTCTGCATATTTATAAACACTGCGACATGAGTACACAGTAGGGTTTTGCACAGCGGCTAACAGCACATGCAATGACACACAGACGCTTACCGACTTGGGATGGGGATACGTCTGGATGAGCCCGTCCCGCGTGGAAGTCGCACGTCGTACGCCCACCGAGCCCCCCGGCTCAGGCTTCCCGCCTCGCACGTGCTCAGACACGCGCCTTCGCCCACGGCCGGCGACGTCACCCAGCACGAGTACCCTGCAGGGCGTCGGGCGTTGGCCCTCGTGATGGGTGGGTGGCGGGTGGCGGATGAGGGGCTGCGGCTCGCGGCCCTGTCCAGCACCGGGAGAGGACATCCCGACGCCCGTCCCCAGCCAGGGGGGATCCGAGCTCAGAATTCCGAGTACATTTTCTACTGCACGTGTGTTGCTTTTGCACCGTCGTGAAGTCAAAAAATCGTAAGTCGGGCCGTCATAAGCTGGGGACCGTCTGCATCCAGATCAGAAATAATTCTAAGGAAAGGCAAAAAGTTTGCAGTGTAGGAATAGTCAAGTGAGGTGAACTGCGGGTAAAAATAAGGAGTATTCATAGATTGTCTGGGAATACATAATATATGCTTTAAAAATTCCTTTCTGAAAACTGCAGAAAGACAGAAGTAATGACGGCCGTCACCTCTGCTGGGGGTGAGCACACGGTGACGGGAACACAGGTGCGCTTCCCCCGCGGTGGCTCTCAGGCGGCGGGCTGGTTCGGCTTGGTGTCGATGATCGATGATCACGTTTCGCAACTTGATAAATGTTAACCGTTCCTTCACTTTATATGCAATATGATATTTAATGATCATTTATTATTTCTTGAGTAGTTAGTCATAACAGTTATTACATATAAGAAAATCTTCAAAAATTAAAGTAGAAACAGGTGAAATAGAATAAAAACAAACAGTAGGGAAAAAAGTAAGACTGAAAACTGGTTTTTAGAAGACCGTCCCCTGTCCCCCCAAAAATCTAGACCCCAGTGAGCCCGATTTACCAAAGTAATACTAATACGAGAGCGGCTATAGACAGCAATGCAGAAAGGAGATCTATTCACGGTGGCCATGGTGGCCAAGACACAGAAGCAACCGGAGTGTCCTTTGATAGATGATGTGGTCCACACATGTGACAGGATCTCACTTGGCCACAAGGAAAGATGAAATACTGCCGTTTGCGACAATGCGCATGGGCCTGGGGATCGTCACGCTACGCGAAACCAGTCGGACAGAGAAAGTCGAGAACATGTGATGTCACTCGTATGTGGGATGTGCAGCTGGACATGAACATGAGCCGGGCAAACGAAACCTCACGGACTCAGACAACAGGTCAGCGGTGACCCGGGGGACGGGGAGGGGGTCGGGGTCAGACGGCTGGTGTTGGGAGGAGGTCTGGCTGGGCTGTGACCACACGCCATGCAGTACACGTGCGACGTATTATAGACCCGTACGCCTGAAACCTGTATAATTTTATTAACCAATGTTGCCCCAGTAAATTCAATGGAAAAGAACAAACTTAGCTTTCTGGAATGAAAAACAAACAAAAAGAACAGGAAAAGGCAGGAAATCTGGCTTTATTTCAACGCATTTGAAGAATCAATAGGGACTCGTTTTTTAAGGAAAGTAAAAGCGACCGAAATCGATTCGGAGCTCCATTTACAACAAAACCCCTGGGATTAACTGACGCTCCGAGTGTTCACCTGTCGCTGAGCGGGTGGACGGCACACCTGGCCCGCGCGCTCCCGCGCTGAGTGCTCCAGGCCTGCGACCCTCCCACCCCCAGGCCTTCCGTCCCCCTCCCCAGTGCCAGCTACAGACTCCACAGACCTGGACACGGGACAGGAGGGGCGAGCTAGCCTCCCGAATGCTTAGCTCGTCAGTGACAGGCGGGGGTTTGACCCAAGCTGGCTGGACTGGAGGCCCCGGGGATGCGGGGCTGTGCGGTCACCGCCCCGCTGGAGGCTCCCCACGCGCCAGGAGGGCGCAGGTGCAGACGCCACCGGGGCTGACGCGCCGCCCGAGCAGACGTACAGGGGACTCCCATGGCCCTGCGACGACGAGGTGGGCGGGGGACGGGGCCAGGATGCCCCACACACCTTTCCCGCAGCAGGTGGGGTCACCTGCGAGCTCGGGCGCTTGCTGCTGAGCTGTCCCACCCGCGCTGTCCCCGCTGACCACTCACCAGCCCTGGAGGTGACAGCCCTCGGACCCTCCCTGGGCAGGTGGCCG